CGACCATCACCGACCTTTGCTCTTAGGTTGGAGAAGCTGGGACTGCGTCTCGTGGTCGCCGCTGAAGCTGCAGCACGAAATGCTGCAGCGGAAGTGGCAAGAGAGGCCAGGCTGCTTTCCCCCGCGCCTTCAAGCAGCTGCCATGTGCACAGTGTCTTGCAGGTGGCCGATGCCGCGGCTTCAAAGCTGGCAGAGCTGAGGCGCCAACTGCTAAAGGAGGCGGTGTGGGGCTCGACCTAAACCCGTAAAGCCCAGCCCGACGTTGCCGTTTCTTCGTGACCGGCTCACAGGTGGAGCGCCAACGCTCGTCACTGGAAGCAGCAGCCGCTGAGATGGGCTTGCAGGAGCTCATGGCTTCCGTCCAGCGTTCCCGGAGTCTTCTGCTCACCAGGCGGAAGCCGCAGTGGTTATGGCCAAAGGTGCCGAGGAGCAGATCTGGAAGATGAGCCTGGAATTTGCCATGACTTCAGAATCTTCAGAACCGTGGCCCGGAGGATGCTGCGGCCGTGGCGGAGACTTTCTCACTGCGCCTGGAAGCTTCTCAAAGCGAGCTTCAAGAGGCACGTAGACAGCAGATCCAAACAGTGTCCAACGATTGCTTCGTTTCTCTAGTGTTGAGGTGAAGGAGACAGGCGCCGAACATCATGCTGACTTGCATCGGTGTCTGGCGTCTCTAAAGCTGGAAGAGCGAACCCAAGCACAGCTCCACCTAGCCGTTGGCATGTTTCAACTCGTCTTTTAACTTTTTCCTCTGCCTCGACGACTCGAGGTCGATGATGCTCTTGGTCCAAAGATCGGAAACCTGGAGGTCCGGGAGTCAGCGCGGCGCTGTCGCAAGCAGCTCCAACCAATGCCAGGAGCAGCTCCAGGCAGAGAGCCAACGGCTGAAGGCTGTAGGAGGTCCTCTGCAAAGTGCCCGCAAGTCGGGGAGCCCAATGCTGCAGACCGGTGGCCAGGCCAAGCCGAGGCCACACAGGAGGCCTTCCGGCAGAACTCGGAGGCCCTGTCTGAGCTCTCCGAGGCACAGTGCGGCGCGCAGCATAGCGCAGCTCAGCCGCCAAGACGCTACTGACCTGCGTGAGGCCTCCTGGGCCCATCGGGCGGAGTGTGCTCAGCAGAGACAGGCCCGGATCGAGCCAGTACTTTGACATGCTGCGCGGGAGCTCGTGACCGCGAGATTCTGCAAGAACTCTTCGCCGAGAAGTTTGCTGAAAGCCGCTCCCTGAAAAAAGGCAGACCAGCTGGATGGGTGTCCATGCGTCGTTGCTGCCCAGGTCTCTCCAGATACGACAAGACGTCCTCAGAACTGTCCGCAGTGGCTCATGCCTCACGCCTCGCACTGCGAAAGTGCTGCAACAGTATCAGACAGACAGAGAGGGAGAGAGCGAGAGAGAGAGAGAGAGATCAGGGCCTATGCCCTGAGGAAGAAGAGATCAGGGCGCATCACAGGGGGTGGGAGTATAGGGAACTGCCCTTCTTGGGCGTGTGGAAGAAGAGGAAAAGTGGAAAAGAGAGAGAAAGAGAGAGAGCGAGAGAGAGAGAGAGAGAGAGAGCATGAAACACGGGGTCGACTGTATTTTCTGTTGCCACGGTCAGAGAAGACCCCAACGCCGGCCACTCCATAAAACAGAGGGTGGTCGGTCAGGCCAATGGCCTGAGGGTCGCGAAGGCGACCCAAGCCCTACAGACCGAGAGAGAGAGAGCGAGGAGCGAGGCTCTCCGTCCCCGGGCAAAGCATGGGGAGAGAGAGAGAGAGAGAGAGGAGAGAGGCTCTCTCTCTGGCTAGGGGAGCTCCCCTAGTCCATAGCCCTAACGAAAGAAAGAAAGGAGAGAGGCTCTGACTGTGTTGAAGAAGAGAGAGGAGAGAGAGAGAGAGAGACAGCGCTCGTAAACCTGGCGAAAGAAAGAGAGCGCTCTCCGGACATGTGCAAGATGTGCTTTGCTCCTGTGTTGCCACGGGTCGCCGTCCTTTCTGCGTGCTCTCCAGGCTGAGGCCCTGCACGGCCGAGTCGAGGCTTCCTCAACGTTGGCGAACGGCACGGCACGGAACCTGGCCGTCCTCAGTTTCAGGCCGCCGAGACGTCTATCGGCGAGCTTCGGACGGACTTCGGCAGCGCCTCAAAGCTGCGCTGGGCGCTCGAATATGCAGTGCTTCCGAGAGAGAGATTGGGTGATGTGGGTCAGGCCGCTCGGAGTCCATGGATCTGGGGAGCCGACTGGCTGAGCTCGAGAAGAGTTCCCGGCGCCTCATGGAGGAGCAAGAGATCGCAGGACGTGTCAACGTGTCGCCGTAGCAACGGTGTCATTGTGCAGGAGGCGGTCGAAGAAGCGAAGAAGGCAGAACAAATCTATGCAGAGAGACGTGATAGCGAGAGAGTTTCCAAGTTTCACGCCGACTCACGACACTGGACAACGGCGTAGCGCTTGCGCGCAGGGGAAGGGGCTACCCCCGACCCCAAACGCCTAGCAAGCAAGCAAGCGAGAGAGAGAGAGAGAGAGACAGCGAGCAAGCAAGAGCTGCGAAGATGGCCGCGTCTTTGTCCCAGGCAACGGGGGCGCTGGAGGCAACCTGGAGACCAGAGGCGACACAGATGGTCGCTTCACGCGCTGCCAGCACTTTGAACAGTGTCGGAAAGGAGTGTCAATACAGCAGCGCCCTCTCAAGTTGCTTGCAGGTTCAAGAGATTCGACACGAGATCCAGGCCGAGACTTCCTGATTTTGCCGAAGCTGCAATATGCTGCCCCTCAGGCTTCTCAGCGCAAGTCAGTCCAGGCGCTGTAGCCCTGGCTTTTTCGTGAGCTGACCAGTGTCGTGGGGTTTTGCGGCCGAGGCTGGAGTCTGAGAGTGCGAGATTGACCAAAGCTTTGCAGGAACTTCAGCGTGCTTGCCTCAGTTGTGCATTGTGAATCGGCGAGGCTTGTTTCTTGGAGGAGTCCTCCGGCTTGTAGATGCCGGCGCAGAGGTCAGGGCATCAGCCATGAGTGGATGGTGCCACGGGCGCATCAACGTGTCGAGCGGCAGCCTGGGTCTCCCTTGGCTTTGGCTTTTGCCATGTTTTGCCCCTTGTGTTAGGTATTTGGCCATGAACTCCAGCGATGCAAAAGGCATCTGGATGGATTCCCCAGAATTCCGGTTCCGACCTCGACGCCTTGCCAGTGCAACAGCGTGCAGAGACGGCCTCAGAGGCTTGGAGGGCAAGGCCCACTTTTCCTGCGCTTCTATCCGCAAGGCGTCACAGGCTCAGAGTCTGCCCGGCGACAGAAGCCGCAGGACTCTTATGAGGATGCTAGCCATGCTGGCGCCGAGGTATCAGGCGGTGATGGTCTTTGCGCAGTCGGTCTGTATGCTGGAACCTCAGGTGGTGTCTCCCGTGCAAGCATTGAAGCGCTTTCTGAAGAGGCGCCCCGCCATGACAAGCTTGCAGCGAGGGTCTTACTTGGGGCAGTGGAACACAAACTTCGCTTGGATATATTTCCCATCCTTGACTTGCAGGCATTGCCGCTTCGTTTGGACCTTCGCCATCTACTTGGCGACAAGACTTCCAATTCGTAGCCCTCTTTTCCGGGACGCGATAGGATCTTGATCATGAGGTGTGGCAGACCTTCGCAAGAGAGCCGTTGCGCAGACAGAGGCTGCATTGCAAACTTACGACTGCGGGCTGCTGCGGGCTGCTGCGGGCTGCTGCGGGCTGCTGCGGGCTGCTGCGGGCTGCAGGCAGAGGGCGTGCTGTGGCTGGCGCATGGCTTCGGCACCCTCGACCTGGTCAGAGCCGACAAGGAAGACCTGTCCATAGGCCGTTCTTCCGGGTGGAGACGAACTCGAACACATGTTGCACGTCGTGCAGGTGTGGAGGTTCCTCCCTTTGCCTGGGCGGCTTTAGAGAGGGTCCGCCGTCGGCCGTCTGCGCTTTCGGGTTTCGGATGCTACTGGTAGCTGCTCGCTTTGTCAGGCGAATCCGTTTCAGCAGGGGTCATCTTGTGCAGCAGCTTCGAGCTCAGCTTAGCAAATCGAAGGCAGGATCGCGTGATGCCGTATGCAGCAGGTAAAGTTGCAGGACGCCGGCAAAGACTGTCCAAAGACGACAGTGTCTCTGTGGGCAAGTAGCGACAGCCCCTTGCACAACTTCTTCGAATCTCGACAACTAAGGTTCGCATAGATCAGATCTCTCGGGAGTGCAAAGTGGCTCCTTGCAGTGCAAATAGTGCAAGAGTTTCTGCCTGTCTCAGAGCGGCTAGATCTGCCTGCTTAGGCAAACTCCGTGCCGGGATCGCCGAACGCTGCAGGCTGGAGCTGTAGCGGGAGAGATGGGCTGAAGGGTGCTCGCCCTTTCTTGCTCAAGGCCCTGCAGCTGTTCTGTCGAGCCCAAGTCCATCGCGCCCTGGATGGACAGTTTTCGGCGACCAAGGCGAGTGAAGCAAAATCCAACCCAACCGCCAGCCTGGCAAATCTGCAGGTGGTCGGGATGCGGTTGAGCAGCCTGAGCGGCGTCGCCCATGGTCGGCCCAGGCCGCAAATGCACTGCGATCTGCCCGGCGCCCGGCTGAATCTGTGTTTGAATCCATTGTTGTTCGCTCTGTTGATCTCCAGGCCAACATGCCGGCCGCATTTGCTACGCTTCCGGCGCAAAGGCATGGACGAGAGCAGCTTGCCCTGGCAACCCGCCAACACGCTGCCCTGAGAGGAGCCGGAAACCTCCCACAAATCCGTTCCTTCCGGCCACAAGTGCCGACGGAGAACGACCGACGAATCCTTTCATCGACCGGCCGTGAGACAAAGTGTCCCATGCTGTTGTCTACGCATGCTCCTTAAGATGTCGCCCTGCCGCGGCTGAACGTGTCGCCGATGTGGGCTTCAATGAGGAATTTCGCAGAGATGGACACGGTGGCGCATGGTCATACACCGCTGGAAGTAAGGGTTGTCTGGCCTACCAGTACAAGCGTCAGAGTCAGGTAGAAGATGGTATTTATTTATAAGCGGTTTTAGTCGAGATTGGTCGAGAATGACGGAATCATCCCGCGCTGCAGAAGCAAGTGCAGTCGCTGCAGTCTCTACGGAGCAATGTGACAAGCTGCAGGCATCACGGAGATCTGTGCTTCAGATGTGCTTCAGCCAAAGCCAGGTGTCGTTGCAGCAGCTGGTGGCCCAAAGACTGTTGCTGTCTTCGAAAGTCGCCGTGCTCGCGGCGAAGACTACGAGGCTTCTCAGAGTGATCACAGACCTTCTGGACTCTCTTGAGCAAGGCGAAGCCGATGAGGCATCGTCCACGCCTGCATAAGCCTCTCGCTGTGATCCCTGTTGCCACGAGGCCCTCAGACAGAAGCTTGCAAAGTACGTCGCCGTGTTAGCAGCTGCCCAGATGCAGCTTTCCCTTCCACGGGTTTGCATCCCGTTTTGCTCTGTTCTCTTCCCGAGGAAGTCGACCAGCGGGCCGCCTCGTTGCCACCGTCGCCTAGCCGAAACCCGCAGCAGACGGCTTTGGTGCTAAAGCAGCCAAGGCTTGAGGTGCCAGTCGCGGTGCTGCAGCATATGGACCAGGACGGCGCCAGTAGTTGAAGGGCGGAAGCATGATCTTCCAATGGACAGGACGGTGGTTCTCCGGCAGTCTGGTGTTGGGGGGCCCGGAAGGGCAGCGCAAGCTGCCAGTCAGCTGAGACATGCTGACGCGCTCAGATGACTCAGACAGGTCAGAGCCTCCTGGATCGTTTGAAGAACGGCATGGAGGCTTGCCTCATCGGGCGTGCAGCTTGTGCCCTAGCCGTGGCTCTTCGCTGCTCAGGGCTTCAAGCAGCGAAAGGCGCCCGTGGCGTCCTTGAGCAGGCACCCATGTTGCCGTTCTTTGCTACTCCTTTCCTTCCTTCCCTCCTTCCCTCCTTCCCTCCTTCCTTCCTTCCTTCCTTCCTTCCTTCCTTCCTTCATCTGGAGCGGTTTGTGCCTGAAGGCACCTGCGAGCACAAGGCTACTCGCGAAGTGACAAAACTGCGGAGACACGGACGGCACCGCTGTGTCCGGTGAAGGTTGGGGCCTGGCCTCCTTGAACAGCCTGTCGCGCCAGCTCCGAAGCTCAGAAGCGGCCCGTTTTTCGCGACGGCCCGACTCCGTCTCTCTGCGAGCGCTCGAGGCCGTCTGAAGCCGAGGGCCAGGCCGGGCCAGAGATCCCAGTTCTCACAAGTCTTGCACGAAGTCGACGAAGCTTGCAGAGCAGAGCTCCGACGGTGCTGAGAAGTTCTTGCCGGTGAGAAAGTCCTAGAGAAATCCCCGAAGCTCCAGAGTCAGTTGCCGACAGGTCGCCGGTAACGACATGTCGGAAGGGTGCGCTCCTGGATCTTTGGGAAGGCAGCACGCATGGGATTTGACCGCTCGAGCACGCTTCATGAGTTCGTGGCGGTGCAGGACGGCCAAAAAGCGACCGTTGGATTCAATGGCCCGCGGCGGTTTGGGATCTCCCGAAGAAAAAGCCATCAAGCTTGCCTTGGAAGGGGGTCTTTCGGCAACAGTTCGCTGTATACGTACCAGAGGAAGGATTCAATCACCCACATGTCAATTTGGGGGCCATCTGCATGGGTCACCTGCCACACCGTTTTTCCCACTTTGCTGTTTCGCTGACTGGCGCGGTTGTTGCCCTGCGGACGGTCCTTCTGCGGGTCAACTCGCACCCTGCCTCGTTCTCTGACTCTGACGTTTCAGATGCTGCTTCTTCGCCGTGGCCCAACGCCTCCTTCGAAAACCTTCATCACGTGGCACTCATACTCAGATCTATGCAGGTGGAATGCTGCAACCAAAGCCAACAAGCCCCAATAGTGTGGTTATCAAAGCCACACGCCTTGTGTTTCATGGCCGTGCTGTTCCACCTTGCCGCGTGAGTGGCATCAGCTTGGGACATCGGCTCAGACTCGTCGAACGTTGTGGAAAAGGGCTCGTACAGGGAAGGGTCGCTACCGACTGGAACGCCCAGGAGTGGATGGAGTTGGATCCCTACCAATGCATTGCATCTCGGCTGCAGTTGGCTAAATTCCCATTGCCTTTCGCGGAAGTTGTGTCATGGCCTGTCAGTCCTCTGCTTCTGTGGCACCGAGGCGAAAGTGAATCGCAAGTATGCTTCCGAATGCACTGAGGCGTTGTGCTCACTGGCCTACCCACCCAGTGTTGAATGTTGGACCAGACGCTACATCTTTTGTTGTGGAGGTTCACCTGGCCAACAAAGGGGCGGAATCCATCTCGAAGAAGTTCGAGCATTTCAGTCTGCATCTCAGACAGTCAGCTTGGAAGGTGCATGGGTACTACACGGCATCTCGCTTTGTCAGGTTCGCTTGAAGTCGTTTGGTGGATAGCTTAGCACGACTTGGAAGTGGCGCATGGATCGGCCGTCTGCCTTTCTGCGACTGAACCGAGGTTTCAGGGAAATCGGCTGTCCCGTGTGGAGAATCTTGAGACGAACTTCCGCATTCGGGAGGCATAAGAGTAAGCTTTTGTGCACTTGCCAACCTGCCCCGGTGTACGTGTTGCGCACGCCACATGCAGGTTTACATCCAAAACAACCGACTGGTGTCCTTGGCTGGCCTCAAGACCTTCAAGTTCCTGAGGGTGAGTGCGGTTTGGCCTTTCACCAGGGACCATACGCTGTCCTCGGGCAGGTGTTGCTGGCTAGTGGGAATCAACTTCGAAATCTCGATAAGCAGCTAGCGCTGCTGTCGAGGTGTGGTGGCTACATATTCTGCTCCATGTGGTGCGCATTCCGTGCGCAGATTTCCATTCCTGAAGAAGCTAGAGCTCTTCGACAATCCGGTGTGCGTCTCGAACGATCTGTTCAAATGTGAAGTAGAAAAACCCCAACAACTGGAGAATCTTCCCAGGTGGCAGAGGAGCCAGACTACAGGCTGCGCCTGATCTACCATGTGCCCCAGGCGCTTCTGGTGGTGAGGAGGTCGGTGCTGAGGGCTTTTGTCCTCAGGTGGAGCTTCTGGACCAACACACGGTGAAGCTGCCGGAGAGACTTCGTGCGGACGAGGTGGTGCCCAACTTGGATAAGGCCAGTCACGTCGGACAGCGAGCTCTGCTTCAACTCAACCGTCGTGTACGGAAGGTCTCTGCAGCAAAGGTGGAGAAGCCTCGACCAAAGGGCCACCAGTTCTCTGTGCTGGAGAGGATCGGGCTTTGGTATATAGTATATGCTCGATAGCTTATCGTGCTGCATGACCCCATCGCCTTCGGCTGGACAAACGACACAGGATCATGCAAGATCATGCACCCAAGAAGGGGAGATGTCAGGAAGAGCGACCCTGCAAAATTCGCCTCCCGCAGCAAGCTCCCGTGTTCCCCGTCCCTCCCCTCCCTTCAGGGTCGGGCGGCAACAAGGAACCTCAAGAGAGGATCTGGGGCAGAACATGACATTCGCTGCTTGAGACGCCAAGCACCCTTTGCCGATGGCCTTGGCAGAGGAAAGTCACGTGTGCAGCACCGGAACTCATGGTAGAAAGCAGACAGGTTGATGTTCTGGACACACTGTGCATCCGATTGTCGAAGCTGGAGTTGGAGTTTCGAAGCTTTTGCACAATCTTTTGGCTGAAGTCTTTCCAAATCCCCTGAATAAGGAAGCCGTCACTCTTGTCAGGCAGTGTATCCACGAGTCTCGCAGCATCCAAGAAAGACGAAGGTGCAGCCCTCAGCGAAGAGGCGACCTCGGCCGGGTGCTGCGGCCCGTGCCCGAGGCTCGAAGAAGAGCTCTCCATGAGCAAATCCTTTCACGTCGCAGTCGACAAGGCGCCCACACGCGCACGGCAACAGCGCTCACAGACGCCGGGTTTTTGTTGGGCAGTCTGACCAGGGCGCGCCGCCAGACTGCAAAGTTTTCAAAGCCAATCGGGACCGGTGGATGGACCCAAGGAGCCAGCACTTCTTCCGCAGTGCCGCGCAGCAGGAAGTGTTGTCGATGATGCCTGTTTCGGAGGAAAAAAGTGCTGCACGAGACCTTGAGGCGTTTGGGATGGCGCTGTAGACCGTCACACTGCATGTTGCCGTGCAGCTGCTCGTAGATCTGGGCCTGGCTTTGGTCAGGCCGACGCCCTGGGAGTGCCACGAGATGCGGGGCTTCATCGCTGCCCGGGCCAAGAAGGAGCTCACGATCGCGGATGTGGAGGCTCTGGCCAAGGAACTCGCGGAGACCGGCATCGAAGAAGTCGGCCGCTTCCTGAAGAGCCCAGAAGCGGTCTTCGAGGATCTCCCGGAGCAGGACAGGGGCACATGGGGGCACTTTGCAGGGAGAGGACCGGGCGGGGCCCTTTTTGCGCGGAGGATGCTGTGGAGGCCGGTATGACAGCCCTGGCGCGCAGCCTGAAGTTTCATACCGAGTCCAAGGGCAAGGCCTGGGTGCGAAACAGGTCCTTAGGCATCCTTTGGAGTCTCTGAGCAGGTGAAGCCAACACCTCATCCGCTGGACAAGCTGATGCAAGACGCATCGGTGGGCCAAGTTCTGAATGCGCCGAAGCAGAAGCATGCTGTGCTGTGAGGCGACTATGCCCTCGGCAGAAGTGATTACCTGGCTTTTGCGACCTCGGCGTTTTTTGTACGGAGTCCCGATCCTCTCTGATACAAGTGGACTCACACTGCAGGAAGCTAGAGTGGCCTCGCTTTGACGACGAGATTCTTGACAGGACTGCTCGCGACAACTCATGACACGGCATTGCCAGTGGGCAGACAGCCAGAAAAAATGGAGTGGATCAGGCGCATCGATAAGCTCTTCGAAGACATGCGACGTGCTGAATTCGCTGGTGACACAGAGACTGTGGTGCCGCCGACCTGGGAATTCTTTTGTAATTCATTTATCGGCTCTTCCTCCCTCTCCCTCTCTCTCTCTCTCTCGCAGTGTCTCGATTTCTAGATCCACGAAGGTCGGCACGTGTTGCATGCTGTTTGCATGACAGGGCAAGCTACGAACGCATGCTTCGCGACTGGAGGGTAGGGGACCCCAGCGGCTCTCCCCAACACGATCACCCGACAACTGCTTTGAGGCACAAAGACGCTGAAAGATCATGTGGAGCTGAACCGCAAGGTCGCAGGGAGCTTGATGTCTGCGACGAGATTGCTTGGCTCCTTCCATGCGAGGAAACTGTCCAAGCAGCTCCAAAAACTCGTGCTGATGTCTTTCCACAGTGCCTCGGTGTAAAGTCTGGGCCGATGCGAAAGTCTAAAACGCACGATGCTGGCCAAATTGGCCACAAATAAAAGAAGCTCTTCGCTGCAGAGCTGCAGCACGCAATCTTGAGATGCCTTTCCAGGACCTTCATTCGAGCCAAGCGCCAGATAGATGAAGCCACAGGGCGAATTGTCTTGAAGGCGGGAGATCCGCAAGCAGCCACTGTAACTGATCGTCACGACATGTTGTCGCAAATTCAGGTGGGCATGGACACAAGGAGCACCAGCATGGGAACCATGACTGTTGCGAGATAGTTCAGCATTCTACCGTGTCTCACCCTGTCTCACACGGTCTCACCTAACGGGCTACAGTGATCACGGTCACGGAGGCCTGCAAATGCCGTGCTTTCCAGCAGCGCATCGCCTGAACGCCACTACGCAGCGCCACTAAATACGCATAGAACTTTGAGTGTCGCTTGCTGGCTCTGCAGCTGACATGACTCTAGCAGAAACGCCAAACGACCACACGAGTTGAGCATGTAGTGCTCAGGGGAGCTTGCATTCAGTGGCATGTGGGCATTTGGCTAGTACCAGCAACCTTTTGCGCTTTAGTGAGCGGCGCGAGTGTGTTTGGTACCCCGATGTTGCAGCCAACCCACCAGCATAGACAAAGTGAATTCGGAACCTTGCCGCTGATGAGCATCTTTTACGTAACCATCGCTGCATACATCTTGATCGGTGGTGTTGGAGTCGGTGCCCTGAGTGTGGCAGCTTTTCCTAGGTGCCAGCGTATCTTGGTGTGCCAAAAGAGACCGTTGGAGGTATTTTCCTATGGGGCAAAGAGCATGGAAACTCCTTCTTCGACAAGCTCTACCGCATCTTCTGCATGCATTTTCCGAGACTGCTCAAGAAGGCACCTCGCAGATGACTCTTATGTGGGTTCTTACTAGGCCATTATTGTGCCATCTCGAGCCCTGCAGGCTTTAGAGAAAGTTTTCGGCAAGAGAGCTCCTGCCGTGTTGGATGCTGCTTGGGTGTACGTTTGCTACACAAGCAACCCGTTGGTGCAGATCTTTTATGCAGTGATCTCAGCATCGATTGGTCACTGACAACTTCATGCCATGGATCTCTTTTCCCTTGTGTCCTGCCTGCTCAGTTGCTGGTCGTGGTGGGCGGCTACGCCACATTTGTGGCATACAGCCACCCTCATATTCCGAACAAGCTTGACGCTCATGTTCTAGCATGCGCCTGGAATCAATCTACCAGCATGACCGTGTGTTCTCGCTGAGGCTGCTTAGCAACGTCCACAAGTACATTGGTTTTGGTATCTTCTCTACTTGCCTGGCAATATGGTGGAGAGCCTGCACAGCCCGAGTCTCGTATGGCAGATCGTGTTGCTAAATGTCCGGTGGAGCCTTGAATGAGGCCGATCCGGGGATTGTGACTCCTCAGAATCTGGACAAGATTTGCGAGATTTGGAAGGCGATAGCGAGTTTTTGACAGCTTCACAGTGCTGAAGTTCCCCAGGTCCTGTACCAGGGTTTCCAGCAGATTGACTGATCTTCACCTGCTCACAGCTCATCTTAGATCTTGCATCGCCCTGTGCCTTGCAGTGGGACGACCAGATCTTTCACATGGCCGTCTGCCGATCTTGCGAGCTTGCGAAACCGGCACGCTCCAAGCACTGCTCCCTGTGCAACCACTGCGTGGCAAGGTTCGAGCCAGCGCCATCTCACAAGCCAGGCTGCTTGTGCTAAACCCTGTCGCAGGTTCGACCACCATTGTATTTGGATCAACAATTGCGTGGGTGTGGGAAACCACAAGTACTTCCTAGCGCAGTCATCTCAGTGAAAGGGGATGTCCGGCTCCCTGTTTCATCTGAGAATTCTCCAAGGTTTCTGGGTGCGCACCTCGTGATCTGCTTCTACGGCTTCGGCTCGAGCCCCGGGCGTCTTCGTTTCGTGTGAACCGGGGCCGAGTGGTGGCCTCCCTGCGCCAGGGCTCACGGCCACGATTTTATGGAACCTCATCGTCGGGAGCCGAGAGCCGAGCGAGCCGAGAGCCGAGCGGGCCGGGAGCCGGGAGCCGGGAGCCGAGCGTTGCCCTGTGTGGAGGTGCAGAAGGAGCTGCTGAGCGCCGTCTTCGTCCGGCCGGACACCCGCGCGCCTCGGCTGGCGCTCTGTCCCCCTCCCTCCCTCCCTCTCTCTCNNTCTCTCTCTCTCTCTCTCTCCCTTGGGTTTCAACGCAGGAGCGGTTTCAAGCGACCAAGCTTATGGTGATGCAGTACTTGCTTGCCACGGAGGCCTTGCTCCCGTCTTCCAACGACTTTCTTGCATTTGTCATTTTGCCGCCGAGGGGATGGTGGTGTTCATTTGCGCCCTCTGTTGCATTATGGGAGTCGTGCTCTTCGGCTTCTTCGGCTGGCACCTGTACTTAGTGAAAGCAGGTCCAGTCACCTCGGCTGCAGCTGTATGTGGAGTGCTTTTCGTCTGTGAATCGCTCGGCCAGGCACCACAACGAACGAGCTGAGCAAGTGGAGCTACGTCAGGATGTGCTTGAAACACGCCCGAGACCCGAGCAGCATCTGACAGAATCTGACTGCTGTCTTCCAATGAGACTTTGCGGGAGTCTGGTTCACCAGGAAGGTCCAGAGGGAAAGGAGAAGTTGAAGCTCCTCGTAAACGAGTATGACCAGGTCTTGTGCACTTGACACATCTTGTCATCTAGTCAGACTGGTTTTGAAAAGACGTCATGCCATGCAACTTTGCGAAGCCATGCTAAGCTGACGACGGCTCAAGACCGCATCACCACATTGTGCAATTTGTTTCGTTGAAATTCCTGCTGTTTCCACCTCTGCCAGCCAATTCTCGAATCAGCAGAGAGACGCCTATGAAAAAGCACAAAATGCACAGCAGCAAATGCTTGTGCATCCGAATGTAGAAGGGGGCTTCTCAACGCTTTCTTCCGGCAGCACGTGTGTCTGTGTGCGCGCGGGCAGCGCCATGGCTGCAAAGATGGAGCGACCCGGCTCCACTACCTCTGCCACTACAGGCTGCGCGACAAACAGAATCCGCTATCTCGACACCTCGTCACGACAAACGGCAGGCAGAGCCATGTCGCCCTCAACTCCATCGCTGCCGTCGCGGCCAAACACCACCGAGCCGCAGGTCTCAGCCATGCTTCCTAGGTCTTAGAGAGTACACGGACCTCTTTTGGGCTTTCAAGCCTGTCTTTGGGACTTAAGGCGAAGCGGAGCCAGCGGAGCTCGAGCAAAGACGATGGCAAAGCCTCGTTCAATGCTCGCGCGCCTCGCAGCCCGCGGGCAGGGTCGTCGCGACTTGGCAAGTGCATATCGCAAGTCTTCCGTACAGTCCGGTGTTGGCACACAGCCTTCTGGCATGTTTGTGAGTGCAAAAGCGTGCACAACTCCAGGCAGCAGCACGGTAGGAACAAGCCAGACAATGCCAAACGCCCCTAAATGCACAACTCAGGTGAACAAGGACTGAAGGAGGCAGAAGCCTACCGTGTGGCGTGCTCAGATTTAGGTGTCCCTGCGGAACCACGTGGACCGGCATTTCGGGGGTCTCGAGGCTGGTCACGGCTATGGGAAAGGTTTCGGCCCTTGCAAGCCAGCATCGGCATCTCCGTGTGAAACGGCTTTGCTCAGTGGCCTGACCGAGTGGCAGCTGCCCGTGTCGGAGGCAGCTCAGCCCATGCTCGTCCGTAAACTAGGCATCGACTGTTGGGTTTGCGTTTCCGGGCAGGCACCGCTGGCAGAGATCCTGCTCCAAAATGACAAGGTCGAGCTTGGTGAGAAGTACAACACGAGAATCAGTTCCCGATTCCAGCCTCTGGTCGCAACGACGGCGCACTATCACTTCCCGTTGCCGACTTCCGAACAAAACAGGCGGTACAGCAATGTGAGACACAAACATCCGCCCGAGGGAGTTCCATGCATGGAGCCACCAAAGGACAAGCAAGAGCAGACTTCTGCTTTGTCGAAGAGCTCTGAGAGGCCAACGCCACTTCTGACGAAACTTCGACAGCCAGTGCAGGAGGGCATGGCGCGTCTTCGCCCGGGAGTCGCGTACAGCGTCTCGCGGCTGGAGGAATGGTTCCTGCTGCTGGACACGAACCGCTCGGGTGAGGTCACTGTGCGCAAGTTAATCCTGGGCATGATGAAGCACCAGGACCGATGTGCAAACAAGACGCACCGCACAACCCTGGACCTCAAGCCTCAAGCTGCTCCATCGAAGCCTTTCGACAGGAGATCATGGACCTCGTCTTCTTGCTGAGAGAGAAGTCCGAAGGCCGATTATGGCAGCTCAAGCCCGAGAACAGGCCGACGGCTGGCAAGCTCACCCGGGACAGCATTTTTCGAAGTCCGCACATCTAAGCCTAAAGCACTTCGAAGCACCCGGCCCTACTTAGCTCTGTGTTCCTGTGTTTCACCAGGACGACATGCAGTGGGTGAGGGCACCTTGGACGCTCGAGTCGATAGTGTTGCCAGTGGTGTCCTTGTCGGCCAGATCTCTCCCAGTTTTTGTTGAGGCAATGCTGGAGGAGCTGGGGTCAGGGGGTGGTGCTTCGATGACATGGCCGGAATTCGTCGACTTCTTCCGCCAGACAGGTGCTGCGACCGCGGAGGGTCAGAAGCTTTTCGATTCAGAAATGTCTGGTTTGGTTTCTGATGGCTTGCAGGTCTGCTCCTGGAGTACAGCACTCGGGACGAGCTAAACCAATCAGACCTGGGAGAAACGAACATAGAAGACTTGCCAGGATCTCAGTCTTGGTCCGGTCGCCACTTCCTTTCTTCTGGCTCATGACTTAAAATGCCTTTGTGTCGGTTCAGTACTTGTGATGTGCTGTCGAGTCTGCGACGACAAGAAGAAGAATTTCAGCTGGACCAAGAGAGATTCTTCAGCGAGCAACGACGAGGCAAGCGATGTTGAACGTTGAGTGTTTTTCCTGTGAGACAGGGTATCCCAAGTGCTTGTTTGCAGCCAGGAGCCAGGATTTTTCCATCCAGCCCGGAACGATCAGAAAGGAGATCAAGCCGGTCGAGCTGTGCACTGGCACAAACAACGTAGTGGAAGCAAGGGTCGGTCCATCTCAATGCTGCCTCTGTTCGTACTCTGTTAACATGCCATTCTGCCAAAAGCATTGGAGAATGTGGGCTCGAGTACCTTTGCAGCTTCAGCACATGCAATTTTGTACAGGCCTGTTGCAGTCTAGGTGTTGTGCAGCCCCATCGGATCACCCCGTGCCCGTGTCATCAGAGTCACAGCCATTCACGGACAGCTTGTGGATGGGGCTTCGGAGGGCAGTGAAGTCTCACAAAGACCAAGCTGCGGTCGGGGATGCACGGTAGACTTGCGTGCTCCTTGCGTAGTAGATGAACATGGTCACAGCCATGTCGGGCCGTTTCAAAGTTCGATCGGCCGTGATGGGAACTACAAGAGGGGCCCGTCTCCGCTCATGTCTGCGGCTTTCAGGGCCCCCGGGCCCCCTGCAAAAAGCAGGAGATGTCGGATGTGAGATGCAGGAAAAGTGGGAAGTCCCAAAGGTTCATCACACGGGTACTCTTGTAGTAAGTCGAGCCATGTCGCACAGCGAAGTGATGATGACCCTGTGTGAGTGGCTGCGTCGGGCAGGGCTGCCTCGGCAACTTCAGGGAAATCATCTTTCCTGTTGATGATTCGACCTCAGCACACGTGGGAGACTTGCATTAAGAGTGCTGTGCAGTTTGACTAAAAGCTCCCGTGATCAGACGAAGAAGCTTTCAGAGGAAGCTCTGAAGCAGGACGACGCCTTTGCATGAACCCCGCCCCCCTTATGTTCTGTTGGCGATGATGACTCCAGTTGAGGACTCCAAGGTCACGCAAGGCAAAGCTCGAAAAAGCAAGGTGGAAGCGCAGTTGCACAGCTGTGCAAAGCTGCGATTTGGAGTCTATTGCTGTGTGAAGTCCGCTTTGCTAAGAGTGTGATCTGCACAGGCGAAGAAAGCAGAGTGATTGGCGAGCAGACTTCAAAAATCAAGCTTTGGAGCGCTCGTCAGCCGTCATTGAGCTCCACCGCCCACGTTGTTTCAGCTCATCTCACAATCGAAGGCCTCGGCTCAGGCATAAGCGACAGGCTGCCAACGTGTAGATCTAGCAGAATCTAGCTGGAGGCTTCGCCTTCCTGCATGCTGATCTCGCAACAGAGCATCGGACTTGCGCGCCAAGAGGTGTTGCTGACAAGACAAACCTGTGCACTGCATCTGTTGCTCATTACCGCCTCTTGGAGGCAGCTGTCAATCTTATGCAAGACGACCCATGTGACCATGTGCTTGCAGAGTCTGTATCTTGCGTTTTCCATGTCTCTGACGCCTCAGTGCCAGTGCTCATTGCATCGAGAAGGTGTAATGTGAGGCAGGTGTTGCATTGTGGGGAAGAGTGAGAGGCAGATTCACGCCAAGCTCACAGAGTCAAGACGGGCGGGCGTCAGAGAAGCAGCCAGAGCCATGTGATGGACCGCACCCTGTTGAAATTTGGTCAACTCATTTGCAGATTTGGGCACCAGAAAGAAGATCGGAACCACCAGGGAGGTTTGTAAGATGTTCTATGCACTTATGGGAGCCCACAAACTGGACAGTGACGTCTTCTCGGTCCTGCGGCTGTGGGAGTGGTTCATCGCCCTATCCAATCAGGATCTGGGCAGCGCTGACAAGTATAAGGGACTGGAGGAGACCGCCTGTGATTACGTCGCGGCCTGCCCACGATATCTGGGCCGCACTCCAAGCTACATCGAGTTCGGATAGATGGACCCTGAGGAGTGCGACAAGGATGTCCCTGGGCCCTACCTTCGCATGCGCTTCGAGGAGTCAGATGATGGCATCTACCGTTGGAGACAGAACATCGCAGAGGAGAAGAGGTCCGAGATCAATGACGCTTGGAGGCCCTTACCCTACGACTACCTGTCTGGCACCTTCTGCAGCCCGTCGACGAAAATCCCGGGGCCCGGTGCAGACAGATTCCGTCCCTTGCCGAACAAGCTCTGCGACTTCCCCATCAATTCCTCCAAGTCCATGCCCATATCCTCGCTAGCCTGCAGCACGTCCTNNAAGGGGGCTGGTGGAACAGGCGTGTCTGGCACAGCAGTAGCTTGTGGTGATGCTGGTGCTTCACCACAAGCTGCTGCTGTGCCAGACACGCCTGTTCAACCAGCCCCTTCCCCAGGACGTGCTGCAGGCTAGCGAGGATATGGGCATGGACTTGGAGGAATTGATGCTCAGGGGCCGCAATGTCCGGAAATTGGTGAGCATCAAGCACTCCATTGAGCAGACACCGCCATACTACTTCCTTCGCGAAGAGGAGCATGAGGAGACGGACGAGAAGGGTTCGGTCGTGATGGTCACGTGCCTGCATGTATGGTACAAAACCTTGCAGGGCGAGGTCTACTATCGGCGATCAACCAAAGGAGGAGGCCTTGCAGAGGAATATTACCAGGGGAAGAAGTACATCCTCAGCTACTCCGAGTCCAAGAAGACCTTTGTGTCGGGAGTCATGGCCGGCTGGGCGTGTCCTCGCAAGGTTGTCACCTGGCTGTTGGAGAACCGCAGCCTATCGGATCTCATCGAAGGCCGGCGGAAGGGTCGCAAGCGGGGCAACGACTGGAATGAGTCTAAAGTCACCACTCTGGAGGATGGAGCAGCAGAGTTCTACCAAAAGTGTGAGACGATCACCGTGAAGGCCATGCCAATTAAGGCTCCATAAAGGGCTTCATCTACCAATACAGCACCGACGACCGCAGAACCTGGCAGGCGCTTTCCTACGCGGAAGAACGCAAGGAGTGGGTGCGGACGGCCTCGAGCACCAATCTGAAGTCTGATGAAGATGGGATTCCCTGCGAGGCGATCATGGCCATCACGCCCTCTGAGGAGGCCAGTGCCGGCATGGCGAGCAGCCTCAAGACGCCAGCCTCCGTGAAGCTTCTGTTCCCGAGTGCTACCGGCACAGCTCTGGCAGAAATAGAGCAACAGACAGATCACTGCTTCAAGCGCCCGCAGTACCTGGCGGAGGCCCTGACGCATTACTCCGCACAGTCAAGGGCCGTGCGCTCGAAGGGACACTTGGTTTTGGTGGGCGAGATTGCGATGGAACATTACGTCTCGGACAAGGTCGTAAAAGAGGCGATGTTCTTCGGATCCCATCTCGTGGTCGGCCAGAAAGAGGGCCAGCCGCTTTCGAAGACCTTTGCCACCCCGAAAGGATTGCCGCCTCCCCGAGCACCCCCGCCAACCGAAGAGAATCGCGGAGGTGTCGACAACGTGATTGCTCTGGATCGGCGAATCTGGGTCTGCTGCAACCACGTCAGCTACGCAGCTAGATCCATCTTAACCGGGCTCCACGAATCCATGAACAAAGACTCCAGGGAGCTGGAGGAGGCCATCAATCGCTTCGCCAAGGAGTTCGAGAAGGGGTCACAGCCCAAGGATCAGAAGGAGCGAAACGTCAAGTGGCAGCAGCTCTTCAAGTCAGGAGCGCCGAAGGCTTTTTGTGACGTCTTCTTGGCCGTGATCGGTGCCATTGCCATGGATTCGGATTACTTCGAGGCCGAGCAGCTGATGCTGCAGCACTACCAAGACAGTGAGCGGATCTTCGACATCATGAAAGACCGAGAACATCTGGTGTTCCACAAGTGGTGGCCTATCAGCCTCGATGTCTAGAGGCACTTGTGCTTCGAAAGCAACGGAGGAACTTGAGCATGCATATGTCGCGGCTTCTGCAAGCGGCGACTTTCGTATAGTTGTGAAATGCCATGAGATGCCGCATGTTGAGATGTTAAGTCTCCGATATGTGGTGATGCCAGAAGCGTAGGGCGCATATCGCCTCAATGCCAGCATGGTGATTATTATTATCCTAGTCGTTCCACGGCATTGCAGCATGGTTCCTGCAGAGCCAGCCGTGCACGTGGATCTTGACCGGGAACACACTTGTGCCGAGTAGGAGTAGACAAGAATGTGCTACGAGGACGTTTCAATTCATAGACACGGGCCAAAAAAAGGTGGGATTGCTCGTGCCAGCTCGTCCCTGCTTCAACGATGTGTCATGCGACCCACCAGGCAATTGAATTTCCGCCGTGTTTTGGTCCAGGTCTGTAGGCAATGAGAAGATTGTGACTAACGAACTGCAGATCACCGCTCGACTTTTCACCCCAAGAGGGCCGCCAGCTCCAAACGGATTTGTGGCCCGGAGGCCCAGAAGAGGCCTAGGCCGCCCAGGCCCAGGAGGCCTGAGAGAGGCGCTCTCTTTGCTTCTTTTGACCTCTTAGGCCGAGCCCCCGATCCTGGCACCGAAGGGTGTCAGCTCGCTTCTGCCACGCTCTGGGCCGATGAATGCGTGTGCACCCTGGAAGGAGCAGAGCATTGCAGAGCTCGGCTCAGTGTCGTAACTGTCGCAGAGCTATGCGATCACTGCACTGGACAGGACAATGTCGACGATTTCGCCGCCGTCTACGAACCTCTGTCAAAGGAATGCTTGGGGAAGCTCTCTGTCAGAATCGTGTAGCTCATTGAAGTGCAGCCCCTGGGCCCACATGTCAAGCCGCAGGACGGTGCTTTCATTCCGTTCCGGCCGCGAGCTCCAGAGGACATGCAGGAACCGCTGAGTCTGGAGAGGCGGGTAACGGCCATCGGCCAGGGAGGGGCTGCGACTTCACAGCGGGACCCGCTCTGCAGGTCACTGGTCCGATACGTGCCAGTCGCACCTCCGAGGGTCCGCCGGCTCGTCTCCGCGGTCAGGAGTCAGAGCCTTCGCACTGTGAAGGCCAGTTGTCGCAGTCGATGGTGTCCCGCTGAGGTAGAGAAGCTTTAAAGCAGCGAGAGATGGATCGTCAAGTTCTCCCTCTTGCAGATGCAAAGAATGCACAAAGCTTAGCAAGATGTTTTAAGCGGTGGTCCAACATACTGGTTGGTTGTTGCGACTCCCCGAAAGGTGGAGGACGAATACCATGAGAAGTGCCTGGACGACGCAGGTCCAGGCAATCGAGACTGACTTTTTGACAGACTTGCTTGCGAAAGGGTACCTTGCAGGCTATGCCGTGGAAATCAAGCAAGACGTCGACACCGAGGCAGAAGATTCCGAGGCTGGCAGCGGCTGATAGAAAGGAGAGGGCGCTCGGTCTGTCCTCACTGCGTGCTTGTCCTGTATTTGGAGGTGAGCACTGCCGAAGTCTTCAACGATGCTCGGCCGACATTTAGGGACTACAGCCGCCAGGCGCGCTGTCTCCAGAAGTGTTCAATGACATTAGCCCTCGGTGCTTCCCTTCGCCTCCCTCCTCTCCATCCGTCACTCCCCTGCTTTGTTCGAGTCGTTCCGTGTTTTTTCGCTTGTTGCAGGCGCCTGACGGCTGTGTCCACTTGATAGTTCCTTCCAAAGGACGGCTGCAGTCACGGCTGTTTCCCTGTCACGCAAGACTAGTTTACTGCGAGCGCAGGACCCTTGTATTCTCACGATGAGCCGCCAGACTTTTTGCAACTTCCTGAGCCCATCAAGCAGCGTGTGGCTCCTAGCTGCATGCGATGCAGAGTGACTTCCGAGCATTTGTGACAACGATGCTAGGACACGGCAATGCACAGAAAGCATGGCATGACATCGTTGCATTCTGAGGGACAGCTGGTGCTGCCCGTGTTGCAGCTGCTGCGAGGTGCACGGACGTCAGTGTCAGAGTGACTGCAGCTGCCAGACAGTATGTACAGTCCCGGGCAAACGCCGTTGTCGACATGGGGGATCCAGCACGAAGCTATCGTTGCAGGGCGTGGGCGGCGGCATCTGCTCATTCGCATCCCCATGGGCGGCAGGCCGCATTGACAGCATAAGCTTGAAGCAGAGGTCTAAATGGAAGCCGAAACCAGGAGCAGTTACCAGCCACCGCTCGGGGCGTTCCCTCACCACAGCATGCAGCTATCGCCGAAGAGCTCAACTTCCGAGGTCCAGGCCGACTCTATGCTCTGCGAAGTTTGCAAGGGCTGCATAGTTGCTGGTTGCTGTTAGCTAGGACAAATGCGCAGCGACAAGTATCGAATACCAGTCGGAGTCTAGTTGAGGAAGCGACCAAGTTATTGTTACTTCAGGACCACGGGCTTGCATCAATGTGACAATGCGCCACACAGTAGGCAGGCAGATCCTTGTTCGGGCAGGTCCTGTGCCTCAGTTCGGGACTTCGGCCCGACCCTCCTCGCCTCAGGCACCGAACTCACCGGACTTCATGTGCTTGCATCGGTTTTTTGCCTTGGCCTGGGGGATATCAGGCGGATCCTGGCCGACAGAGCCAGGTGGAGACTCGCCAGGCCTTGAAGCTCGCGTCGTTTCGACTTGGACACTCGCATCCTTCGGCAACCCGCATGAATCGCTTGAGAGGCAGTAGCCGGACCAGCTGTGCTGGCGCTTCGCCGCATGCGGAACCAAATGTCGGCACTAGCAGAAGGGCGCCTACCTTGGCACTTCTCGCGCGATCGGCAGAATGAGGACAGCCGCATAAGAAGATGTAAAAAAGTAAGCTGTTTCCTTGTTTCTCCGTGCTCTTGCATTCTTCCGTTCAAGGAGGCAGGAGCGGAACATGTGCCACACCCACCGCAGCAGCCCCCAAGCGGTCAGAGGAGGCAAGCGTTTCAGGATGCTCCGATGCTCCGGGACTGCCGGCAAACTGCCAGGCCGTTGCTACCCAACCTGGGCCGGGTCGTGCCCAAGCCAAACTGTATGAAGAAGGGATAATATGAACATGCTTTGCGCATTGCTGCACATCTGCATCTGCACCACTTCCGAAGTTGCTCAGGTTGGTTCAGCCGCAGGCACTCCGGCGGCACCTGTGCAGAATCAAGGCGCGGAGAACGAGACAGGTTCTGAGCCAGTAGGCTGAGGGAGCAAGCGTGATCTGGAAAACCAAGCCGGAAGTGCTGCGTTCAATCGGCATGGCAGGTTCTGCAGCCGATGGACTGCAGATGCAGCGCCTCTGCTCAACACAACTCGTGAATTTCATGGAAGAAGGGTGTGGGGTGTTAAAGATGACTCGTCAGAGAAGCCTTCAGCGTTGCGATGTGACCAGGTCCCTGGTGCCGGCGCCACCAAGCCAGCCAAAGCCAACGTCCAATTCTGCCAATAGTCGCTTCTGGAGAAGGACGGAGGGACGAAGAGGATCACGCACGATTGCTTAACGCTCATTTCTGGAACAGCTGTTGGATTGAGCATGTCTTTGCGCTTGAGTCTTGTTTCCAGGTCTTTAGACTTTGCAGTGTCGTCGTCGTGTTTCTTGTGCTGTTGTGGTGGGGAGAGCGACGCGTGCAGCGTTCGCTTCCGTCCGAGCAGGCCTTGGCCGAGGATGAACATCATGGGCACGCTCGGCTGGGGTGGGAGCGGCGGAAGTTCCAGCTTCTCGCTCGCCTTGAAGTGCTGTCGTGACATGCTTTTTGAGCTGTGTACTGCATTCGACGCTGAGGCGGCGCCTCATCCTCTCAAGCTCCTGCCTCGTCGGGAGCAGCTTCTAGTTCTGCAGGCCAGGGTGGGCTGAGAAGCGTTGCCGTGCCGTAAGATGTGGAAGCTCTTCAGGTCCCACACTGCAGGGAGAACAGAGCAGGCCGGTGCGTTGGTTGTGGACGTCCTGAAGGGGTGCACGTGGCGTTTGAGAGCAGGCCGGGGACGCAAGCCACGAACAGTGTTCCGGGGCAGCGCCACGCGGTGCAGGCCCTGCCCCCGGCATCCCCCGGCAGGATGGGAAATTTGAAAGAAGCGTTGGTCGAATTTCGCAGGACCCGACGCCCTCCAGTGGTAGCTCGGCCATGGCCAGCCCTCCATGAGAGGCGTGGAGGCCTCGTGGAGGCCTCGACGGACGTTCATCGGATCTCCTGTCACATTGCCTCTCCGAGGCACTTTATCTGAGAGAGGCGTGTCTCATGCCGATCTCGAGGTCTGAAGGCCTTGGAGAGGCATTGAAGGCATTAAGGCCTTAGACCGGGCCACCTGTTCGAGACGCGCCTTCAACGATTCTGAGTTTCCATCTCACCGATGCGCGGAACCCGTAATCGGCTTATCCGCGGTTTTAAGCCTCTCGAAGTTGTTTCTAAGAGAGCGCTTTGTGTTGGGAATTTGCCATCAGTCTTCGACTTCCTCATGGTTCCCCGATGTTGTTCAACCAAGCCGCAACGGACGGTACGGCAAACTCCAGTCAGCAGAGACACCGATTTCGACTAGTTGCATGACTTTCATCCGTGACTCACCCTCGTGAAATGTCAAGAGGCCAGCATCATGTCATAGTGCCGGGATTGACCAGTCACTGGACTGACCTAAAGCAGTGTGATTCTCCGCTTCCCTGCCCGGGCAAGGAGGCAAGGTGGGCATGTCGCCTCGGACCACGACGGGCTTTTCTCTGCCAGAAGAAGATAAGTAGTTCTTCCTGGCAGGTTTGACTTTTCTCACGCTGCAAAGTTCCCGAACCGATTTCTCTCACTGGTTGGCGGTCCATCGTCATGGCTGCCAATTGCCGCTCCGCCAATACTTTGCAGTTCCTGCCAGTTTCAGCGAACATCATACAGATAGCCAGCTATGTGCACCCACTTAGCATTGATCGTCAGTAGCTCCAGCGAACGTGTCGAAACCAAAGAAGCACTGCAGTTCGATGGACTGCATATGGACTCCTTGCAGGAGTAACACCATTTTCGTCGGCAGTGGTGGATGCAGGTGACAGGACACGAGAATTTAACATCAACTACAACCTGTGCTGGAAGAGATGCAAGGTGCGATCACTATGCAGACGGCGATAGTAAGCAGTCTTGCGCAGAAAGGGTCTGTTTGCCGCATTCACTGCATCTAGCACAAGCTCTCATCCCGTCTCGAAGGTAAGGCTGAGAGCAAGTCTACAGATTCCTAGACTCGCACACCCTTGCGTGAGAAAGAAGGCGTGTTGCCAAGTCACCAAACTTCTGCTTGGTTCTCGAGGTTTCTCGTGAAAGAATGCATTATCTTCAGCCATCCTGTTCCACACCTGCTTCCGCCAGACTACTGCGCGTTTGCAGCTTGCTGCCGCCGCCGCTGCCGCTGCCG